ATGCCCATTGCCTCCCAGCTCTTTCCTCTATTTCCCTTGATTCTCCTCCTGTCCCACTATCATGCTCAGTCCCCACGAGGATTTCAGCACTTCCTCTTTGTTACGTTCCCCTTGATCCTGCCCTACCAGGTCTCCCACACCCACCTCCCAACATCCTCACTTCTAAGGAGCACTGAGTACACTTCTCCCAAGACAGGTGTTCATTCTTCTTGCAGCCTATGGTATGAATATACTCTTCCCTAGTACCATAATTCAAAGGCATCAACTCATCTCTGGTCTTCCTTAGTCACTGTCCAGCTCTCACATGCATGTGAGGCTATTGAAAATACCATGGTTCATCTTAGTTATCAAAGTGACACCTTTGCTTTTGAATACTTTAAAGAGGTTGGTGCAGCAGACTTGCCCAATGCAACGTGGTTTGATTTCTTTACTGCCGATTCCATGGGCATTGCTTGTGGATACAAGTAAAATGAAATCCTCAACAACTTCAATCTCTTCTCCATTTATCATTATATTGCTTATTGGTCCCGCTATGAGAATTTTGGTTGTGTGTGGGTGTGTGTTCAAAAACCCTCGTGGCATAATGGGTTACACATTGGGCTGCTTTGCACAAGGTCAGCAGTTCAAATCTGCTCTGTGGGAGAAAGATAAAGCTTTCTACTCCTGTAAAGATTTACCTCCCAAACCCACAGGGGCAGTTCTAGTCTGTCTTATATGGTTGCTGTGAGCTGGAATCAATTTGATGGCAGTGGGTTTTGGTTTGGGATATAGACTCCCTTTCCCTGAGCTCCCAAGCAAGTTTCACAAACATTCACCTCATTGTATCTATAGCATAGGAGTCACCTGGAGCTCTTATAAACATGTAGTTTGGGCTCCAGTCGATCTGAGATGGGGCCTGAGATTCTGCATTCATTATAAGCTCCCAGGGGTTGCTGGTATGCTGCTTGTCCAGGAGCACATTTTAAATAGCAAGATGCCTTTTCGTAATGCAAGAAACACCCGGGTGTTTCCTAATCAGATCCCCCATGTGTCACATTGACTGAAGAATACCAGAAAAGGACACGGGGCTGGGTTCTTGGGTAGTATCAGAAAACGTCACTTTGTCAGAAGTGTAGCAGGTTGACTATGGGTTTTCATTGCGGAATGTATTTCAGAAACATTAACATTCCTTAATTTGTAGAGACTGACCTCAAATGTGAACGTGTCTGTTTACCCTATATGTATGGGATAAATCCACTCCACATTCATCTACAGAGTAAACATAATGTCCCAGGAAAGATCATCACTTAAGGTCTTTTTTGAGGTTTTATAATGGGGTTTGCCTCAAGAACAGAAATGCTCCTTGGAGCTGCACCTGCCAGTCCCTGCTAATCTCAGGCTTGACCAAATGAAAAACCTTAGCAGCAGTGATTGAAATCATTGCGTATACTAAAACCAGTGAAAAGTCTATGACACCCAAAAATTGGTGTCACGTTTAAAAATTACACATGCAGAAATGGTTAGTTGAGACATGTTTTTCTCTGTCTACTCTCAACAACAGCAAAATATCATTTAAAGGAAAATAACTAAATTCTGGAAACACTTAGACTCCTAGTTGATAGAAAACTTTTATTTTAAATGTGAAAATCTTTCTTGATTGTTCACAGTAGTGGTCTCATAACAATATTTGACGGAAAACTTTTAAAGGTAGAATTTTTCCCCTTATAAAATCAGTTGCTGTTGAGTTCGTTTCAGCTAATGGTGACCCCAAGTGTGTCAGAGTTGAACTTTGTTCCACCGGGTTTCTAATGGAAACGTTTTTTGTTTCAAGTTGCTTGCCAGGCCTTTCTTGCAAGGTGCCTGTGAGTATACTTGAACCATCAAGCAGGTTAACATTTGTGCCACCTAGGGTCTCCTTTTTTCCTTTTAGACGTACTCAGTTTCTTTTGCGTGTAGATAGCGTGACTTTTTCCAACCAATCTACCTTTTCTAAATTTACTGGTTTTTCCTAAGAGTACTGACTCATGTGAAAGATAGGAGTCAGTTGTAGCCCATTCAGATGTTTAATCTAAGCTCACAGATTTTTGTTGTTATACTATCTTTGCCCTTGTTCATAGTTCCATTCCTGATTTTCTTTCCTTACTATTTTCCAACCACATTTCATAAGCAAAAAGATGTAGAATAGCATTAGCTACCCTGAAGAACAAAACTGAAGAATTTTCCCTGCTTGATGTCATGACTTATTACAAAGCTATAATAAGACAGTGTAGTAAAGGCATAAAAATAGACCTACAGATCAATAGCACAGAGGATTCAGAAATAGACCCATGATCGTCAGTTGATTTTTGTCAAAGGGTCCAGAGGCAGTTCAAATGATGCTAAAATAATTGGCTAGACATGTTACCCCCCCCCCAAAAAAAGAACAATGACCCTTATATACACCACATACAAAAGTTAACCGAAAAATGAGTCATAGGCCTAAATGTAAGGTCTGAACTGATGAAACTCCAGGGGAAAAAACAAGAGAAAATCTGAGTGGTTTGGATTTGGCAGAGGTTGCTTAAACCAGACACCAAAGGCAGGAAATAAAAAAAGGTTAAACCAAATTGGACATCATCGAAATGAAGAGCATTTGTTCTTCTTCTTTTTTTTTCTTCCTTTTTTATTTCTTTTTTTTCAAACATTTTATTAGGGGCTCATACAACTGTTATCCCAATCCATACACACATCAATTGTGTAAAGCGCATTTGTAC